TGCTTTACGCCGAGATAGAGCACTCTGCTGCAGGTCCTTTAATTTCTTCTACTTTTAAAGGCATCTTTCTATCAATTCTACCTTTGCCGCAGCTAAACACTTCAAGGCGAGGAGTCCGACCCTGGCGGCCAGTGAGCTTTGAACAATGATTGTCAATACCAATACCAACAAGCATTCTGACCAGTTATTCCTACATAATCTAGCCCAATTACGGGCCCTCCCTACTCGACTAGGGATTACTTGTAGAGTAAGACAGTAGGATGCGCGTCCAGGCATAAATGAGTAGAGTAACGCTGTTACTCTGATTTAAAGGTATGCATCTACTCTATCCTACTAATGACTATGCAATTTTCATTTCAGTACTCTAGAAGCGCCATGGGTGCTAACAAGTTTCAGAAGTTGCGACAGGAAGCTAGGCCTATATGGGGTTCTTGGCGAAGTACGTCGTCGACTTCAGAGGACACGATGCTTCGTAACAGTGGACAGTGGGATCATGTACGTCCCGAGCCAGTGCCGGCCGAGTTCCGAGATATGTCTCGGTAAATTCCTTTGAAAGTCCGAAAATTAATGAATCACAAGACGTCCAGCGTCATGTCTTTACCCCGATTTAGTAGCGATACGGTGGTACTTCATATGGAGTGGGGAAGATAAGGTTCTTACTCTACCCCAGAGCTGTGAATTGCAGCTAATGTACCTACATTCGTATATCCTTGTTATTGAGCCTCATAAGCTGTGCCTCTGGGTATTATGTTTCCTAAGGCGATTCTCCAGGCACTTTAGATGGATATCAGCGAAACTAGGCATACACTATTCGCAAGGGAAAGGCCCAATAACAAACTTAGTGAGCACACTTAAGTACGAGCGAATTAATCAAATGCATAGCAAATAAATTAGAACTCTGATCTGATCCATACACGGTCCTATATCTGGCCCCTCTGTGGACCCAGATTAACTATTGGCGTAAAAAGATGCGATTTTCCTCGGGAATTACTAAAAAAACAGGAAATTAAATTTTCGTGAAGAAAGGGGACATAATTCTGTTGATCATAAGAGAGCACTTATGCATGGGGTAAATAAAGAATCCCGTTATTCATTGGGGGCCTATGATGGATCGTTATTCCCTTTCGCAATGATGCTATGCAGTCTTCCGAAAACACTACAAGCCGAACACTACTACTATCCGTCTCTAAAGTTATTCGATCCGATCTATGGAAAATTCGGCATATATCTGAAGAATCTCCATATATCCTACAGCAGGCTATATTAATACTATATGCCACCACCTTACCTATTATACTTGTAATATGTTGACTCTATTACAACCACACCAACTTTAAAACTAGATACCTGCCATCAGCTTTTATGTGATTTCGATCATTACCATATTCAACCAATTTTATTAGGTTATATCGGAGGTGCCCTAGCGCTGGATCCGTCATGAACCTTTGAATGGGTATTCCGGTGAGATTTGGTAGCTAACTAAGAAGGCTTCTAGCTCCGCGGCCGCAGTTCTCACATCAATACAGTGTGCCACACTAGGTCACATCTCTAATGATATATTGCGCGTGGGATCACACCAAGATGTAAAATGACATTCCTCTGGAAACCAATAGCCTTCGGCAAATCTCCGCCTCAAAATAAGGATACCAGTAGCAAGGCTACTCGCATGTACTCTATATCTTCCAGTCCCTAAATAGAGCCATCGGTTAAGCGGAGAAAACGTGTGAGATTCTTTAAGTCGATCACTAATTACAGTACCGGTACTGTAACCAACAACATATCCTTAGTGCTGACCATCCGGCTTTGGCTTCTAGAACAGTTTTTCTTTGCATTCACTAAGTCGCAAGCCATTCAGCCTTTAGCTACTGAGGCTCCATGGAGTGAGTGGGTAACACAAAGGAAAGGAAAGTGCCGTGCAGGGACCACGATCTTCGATATCCTTGTGGTAAACATAGCGTCATGTCATGTCTCAGCCATTTTATTCAGGGGTAACAAACAGAAACAGTTCCTGCAGCTGTGCGAAAGCTGGGCATTTTTTCGGACTACTCGGTATGGTATGGTGTAAGTGGGGGTTAGGGTTGTGGGTGGATCTTTTATAAAAACACATTTTGTCAAGATGTGCGAGCGGGACTCGGGCAAAGGAGGCTTGTCGATCGCATATAGAAGAGGTAATTGCATTCTAGATAAATGACAGCACTCCAAAATATGTTAGGTCCTACCGGGAAAGGGATGAACCTATGTATATAGCACAGTGGCAAGCACATGCGGTAGGCCGTGTAAAATAAAAATAAAAGAATCTCTTTAGTTAGTTAGACGAGATTATAATACGTAGTAGTAGCTAAAAATATGAATAAAGACAATTGTAGAACCTTGACAAAACCAACAGACTTCGAGAAAATTGAAAACAGGCTAGATGAAGTGAGTTAGTTGTGGCCATATAGAGGACAACGACTAAATCCCGGTTTGCATGACAAATAATACGGAATTCATGAAGATGAAGATACATGTACTTAATATATATGCGGGAAGTGTACAAATGAGGTAGATTAAGATAAGAACGAGGGTATTTTAAGTCATCAATACAGTAAGAAAATAAGGGAGAAAGCAATATTACGCTGAATTCAGGTCTAGTGTACGTAACGTATGTATACCGTATACATATATGTGCGTAAATAAGTGTCCGAATTTAAAGAGGGAAGAAACCAAGACCTTCACCACAAGATTACCATCTTCCTATTCCTAAATGTAGGTAAAGACTGAAGACATGAGTACAAGTAGCTATAGGTATTTACATACATGTATTTCTATGTAGTATGGATTATGGGTGGTACCAAAGCGCGGGAAACGCCAGGGTTACAAATTTGCAAAGGCCACATCGCGTCAATACTTCATGTCATTCTCTTTCAGAATATGTATGTTAGTCTTTAGCTAACTATACTTCATACATGTGAACTATCTTCATTCCTGTGGACGGTGGTGAGACAAGATCTACTAATACGTCTAGAAACATGTACCCATAAGAATATTATCGTTTCATGACTATGTAGGTATTATATATTCTCAAATCCTATATTTATATCTTCTTTATCAAGAATATACTGAATAAATACGTAAATGTCGCATATACACACTCTTTCCCGAAACATGAAAATGAATTAAACAAAAAAAAAAAAATCCCGAAACATGAACAACAAACGCCGGTTTGTGCTTGTCGAGTGATATTTTATGATTAAACTTACCGACCTCTCTTACCCGTTGTCAGCTCACTAACCTTATGTCCACTGCAAAAAAGGTTTACACTAGTATAACTCCCTGACCGTATCCGTGTGGCCTGTATGTACATGTATTGGTACAAATAAGAGGGTCTAGGCTAGATGAAAGATCGATCCAACATCTACCCCATTGCATATAACCTACCCCACCTTCCCCCACGTTCCGCCTGAAGCCCCTTAATTCATTCACTGTCATCTTCAATCTCTTGCATTCTAACTCTTCCATCACCTAAGCTAACTCACTCCGTTATACGTATGGAGGTCTCTAAAACAGATGAATACCCACCGACCGCGAACCACAGAACATCCAACAGCTCGGCAGAGGCAATCATACGCTAAAGTCAAGACAGCGGCAGAATACCGGCCAATGTTGACATAGGATAGGTACTCATGTTTTGAGCACGGTGTTACATGTTTCCTTAATACTGCATTGATGATGGATTATCTACTTTTGATTTCCTTCGCCTGGTGGCTTCGCGACCAAATCGCCTAGCTACGTGTGAGTCGTTGCCCCTCGCCCCTAAATCACAAGACGGACAAAGGGTTAAATAATCCTCACCCCTCAAAAATTCGAGACAATTCGATCGTAGCCAGTAGCTTGAATACATTCCGATAACAAACTAGCACGGCAAATCTTACACCAGACCCCCCAAAACGCCCCCACCACAGGGTTCTAACGGAGTTATTCCAGATATTCATCAGCTCCGGGCTTGCTATTAATGAGGGATAAAGTTTATAGATGGTTCCCCCCCTCTAGTCTTACGATAAATATGGCACAGATATCGATCACAAATTCTCACTCGGCCCGCTCAGCCAGCCCTAGCCCTGCAATTGCGCAACCTAATCTCCCCTGCTCTTCCCCACATTTACGGCAGCTCCCGATATCGCCGGTTTGAAACAGGGGTCAAAGTGCAAAGTGCAAGAACAAGATGGAGGATAAGGCGATAAGGATGACGTGAGATGCAAACTTCGGCGCCTGACTACTCAGCAAAGATAGGTTCAAATCCTCTTTAATCCGATTTTCCGTATTTGAACAATTGAAGATTTATAGCGAACAAATCCGGCAATTCATTCGCGCTGGCCGTGGTCGTTCTTGGGTTCGATAGGACAGAAAATAAAGGAGAAAAATAACGCCTAAAAAGCAAACACCAATTTGGACCTATCCAAAGCAAAGCATAATATTCTGACCACACCAAAGGCACCCCAAGTTCCAGACACAAAACTGTCCTTTAATTCCGCTCGAGGCCACACAAAATACGATTAATTACCGTAGGTAGTTTTCCTTTGCTATGCGTGAAAGGTTTTGGTAGATAGAGTATAGTTACTAGCTAATCTCTCCCCACTTAAAAAAAAAAAAAAAAAGAAAGAAAAAAAAGAAAAAAATAAAGGTCCAACTACATAACCAACAATTAGGTAGTAGTAGTAGGTGGTGTATGATGATGTTACCGCTGTGCTGTTGATGGCAATGACTTTTTCAAGTATTCCAGATTTTCATGTTTAGGTTTCAGGATTTTAACTCTCTTTATCCAGGCGGGAAGGGAGAAGAAAACGACAAAATGATTTTCCCCGCAGATGAAATAAACCCCAAAGAAAATATGAAAAGAAAAGAGAAGAAAAAAGAGACCCATCGCCAGACACAAAAAGAATCAAGAACACCTTCCCTACTGCTAGACACCCCGGAGCCCAAAACTCACCCTATGATATCCGGATGAATTAAAGGGCTCGGCTCTATTGTGACGTAGGGGCACCTGTTCCAGCACCGGAACCTCCCCCGTTTGTGACCCCGCCGGTGGCTGGACCTGTCTTGTTGATGACAGCTTCGAGGGATGAGGCGTGGGATTTCCAGTCAATCCTAGTTCCCTGGGGGAGATTCAGCTTGCGTTTGATAGTTTCCCTTCAAGCACAAGTCGTTAGCTATCGATTTCACTTACACATTGGATAAGGATAGAAAAGGAAGCATACTTTATCTTCAGGCAGCTCGATCCATCCACCCTCGTCCAAACGCTTAATACGTCCTCATTACCCCGGATGCTCAGAACCGCACCACACAGGTCCTCGCCAGCTTCACCGAATTGGTCTCCAACGATCGCCAAAACTAGGTCCTCCCAGTACCTTGTGCTAACACCCTTCTTCAAGCGGATGTTCCACTTTCCACCTTTTCTATTCTCCTTGTCCTCCCATACAGGCCTAATCCCCTTTTTAAATAGATGATAGTCACTCACGTGCGGCAGAGCACTCGGTCGCCGCAGGTGAGTGTACACGCTCCAAAACTCCTCCACCGTGCCAAAGTAGGCAATTTTCAAGGTCGATTTCTCGTAATCCTGAAACTTGTTGCCCGGGGCCCTATACCAGACAATCCACGTATTCTTCAATGGGTGGGAGTCCTGCTGTGGGGGTTGTTGGGGTGCGGGAGCTACGGCTTTCCTACCTCCCGCGACAACCTCGGATGCCGTTAACCCGCCCTTCGGCGGAGAGATCGGATTGTTCGAAGAGTTGATAGCCCCCGCCGCATTCAAGCCATCACCTCCTCCGGCGGTGCCTGGGGTTTTCGGAGTTTTAACACCAAAGGAACCAAAGGCGCCGCCAATACCAATATTGAATGCAGATGCAGCTGATGCGGACTTTGTTGCAGTCGGGGAGGGGAGGGCTGGACTGGCAGTGTTTATGCTTTGCAAGTCGTTGAACGGATTCTTGTAGTTAGGTCCTCTGGCCTTGGCTGAAGGTGGACCAAAAATCTTTGACGATGGTGGTTCACCGGTATTGCTTGCGGCGGAAGGTACCGTGGTGGACATGGACAAGGAGAGTTTACCGGAACTACTGTGAAGATTTTTTTGCGTCAGCCAGAGTTCCAGTTGCGGGGGCGGGGGTGGGGAAGAGGCGGGGAGAGAGGAGGGTGCAATTTCTTACTTCGAGCGTCGAGTCCATAGTGAGTTCGAGTCCATTGGTAGCTGGGTCTTGGTGAATTATGTACTGCACTTGGAAATCGGAGGAGGGAAAAAAATCTCTTCTAATGTCCAGTAGGAGGAGGATGCGAAGAAACGAGTGGCAAGCAACCAGCCTGTGCTTAAAGAAATTAAATGGGAGTATCAAAAGGGTATTTTACAAATAGGCCCGAAGAGAAATAAGACGTTCAAAGTAGTTTTCGGAGAAGCGCCTCTCGTATTTCAGAGAGGGATGTATAGTGACGTTGGGGGGCGCTGAAAAAGTGGGGGATCAGCGGTCGGAAAATGTGTACGGTTTATGGATCCTCAAAATGGAATTTTATCAACCAGGAAAGACTTTTCGTTGTTTATGGAGGAGAATCTTGTGAAATGTTGTTACGGATATTGGATGTACGTGGGACGACAAACTGACGAGATGAGTGGAGAAGATGGGGTGAAGAAGCAGCAGCAGTAGCAACAACACAAAGCCGCAACAGCAGAAACCAGGGAACAGATCAGATCAGATCGTACCAGGTCAGGGGGTGGCAGGGAGAAAACTTGTTAAATAGGCGAAAGACAAGCAGAGATTGGTTCAACTGGCGAGAGGGAGACGAGAACTCGGTCAGTGGAGCAGAACAGAGCAGATGATATGTTAATGTAGTTGCGGCGTGGTATGTATGTATGGAAAGGTAGTAAAGTTAAAGAGGAAGGGGGCAGCAGAGGAGGAGAAGAAGGAGGAAGAGGATGAGGGGAAGAATTCCAGCAGATCTATAGATTAAATTTGACAGCAGGATTGTCGTGGAGGATTTGAAGGTAGGGTTGGTTTGATTACACAAGATTTACGCACTTTAAAGTACGAAGATTTTCTGTTTTCTCGTGAACGGGGAATGCGGGATTCTTTCTTTCTTTCTTTCGTTGCATGCCTGACTTGGACTGGCTGACATCAAACCCACACCCACCGCTTGTATTAGTCATCACAACCCCTGCATTCAGCCAAGACTACCGCCTCTTTAAAACCCTTCTGTTTGCTTCGGGCTTCTCCTCTTCTTCTCTTTTACAACCAGACCACCACCTTCAATCAGAATAGAATCGATAGTCCGAAAACTACCCCCACTCGACTGTCGATTTCCGATTTAATAAACAATGTGTGTGGTCGAGATGATATCGTGAGCAGCAAGTCTGCAATTCTCGACCCTCCTTAAAAACCATCGCGACGAGATGCGCTCGCCTTCGGGTTTGCAGTGCTTCCATGACCTGGTGATGACCTGAAGAGATGGACATTCCTCATTTCCGCTATCCAAATGATTCTTGTATGTAGCCTTCAATTGAATTACACTTTCACTCCTTCCGAACAAACCTGCCCCACTACATTACAAACTTGAGATGAAGATACACAACGAGCTCTGGTAAACTGACCCAACCGCTCACACCGGCGGTCTCTGACTGCCGGCTACACGAAGAGACGAGTTGGACATGACGCTCAAAAGGCACAGACTGATCAATCCCCCTCCTCCGCTGCCTCGATTTTGACCGCTTCTACAGTTGCTGGGGCGTTCGCTGATATTCGTGAAAAGCAAAGTGCAAACTAGGGTCCTGCCTAGGTGAAGAAAAAAAAAATTTCAAACCTGCCTGCGGGATGACGTTTTTATCCATCCAACCAACCCTATCATGCAGGGAATTTTTTGTTGTGGATTGGATGGAACCCTGCCTTGATCTGATCCACCATTGTACCTACTCTACATGCACATAGACTACTCTATATATATATCCAATTCATCCGTCGGAGAGACAAAGATCTACCCAGATATCCAACCCCGCCATTTCGAGATCAAACCATCTTCTATGAATTATTCGTAAAGCGAAAGTAGGAGAGCTTTCGCCCATTCTACATCGTCCACCATTTCATAAGATATCAATCGAAGTGCATCCCCACAATCCACAAATTGATCCATTCCAAAGGGGCAAAGGGGACTCACCCTGGCGGGCGTGTTACTGTATCTACTTTCTCTTTCTCTCTTTCACTTTCTTACCTTCTGATCAATAAAACCAAAATATCTTTACCAACACTATTATCTTCCTAACAACCACGATGTATGCGGAGTGTGTAATTGTGAGAAAATAGGGTTGTGCCAGCACTCTCACCAGAAATGTGACAGATATAGTAATGCTTGTAGGCCATGCCGTCACACCGCCGCCCCAAAACCACTCTAGAACCAACCTCTGAATTTTGTCCCCGCTGCCTACAGTCTTTATACCTATACAACTACCTGTACTATACCGTATCTACTAGAATAAGAACATTGTACCCGCCCACGTACCCACACATATCAAAACAGAACAAAAAGGAACTCAAGAAAGAGGAGTGAGGGGAATGTGCCTATGCAAAACTACATTTGTAGTTCCCAAGAAAACAAGAAAAGAAGGAAGAAGAAGAAAGCTATATACAAGGAGTCCAATGGGAAAAAAAGACAAGAAACAACTCCACCCCAAGCATAACGTCATGAAAAACGCCCTTTTGCCCACATCATGGGCCATCACTCACGCTTTTACGCCCACCCCCCCTCCCCCAAACCACAAGACGCCACTCATCACACCGTACCACATTAAAACTCGCTATCTTCCCTGCCTGCGACACCAACGCCGACCAATCCCAACCCCAGTACGCCGACATTAGTCCAGAGGCCCAACCTCCACCCTCTCCACAATGCCTCTCCGCCCTCTTCTTCCTTCACCACGCACCACATCGTCCCAAACACACCCGCATACCTGCCCAATGGCACAATGGTTCTCTGCGGCTTCACTGCTGCGACCTGTCCCCGCCTCAATACTGTCTCCAGAGGCAACCGTACTGCAAGCTCCGCGGTGCTGCTGAAGAACGTCAGGATGCTGAATAGCGTCGGCGTCAGGATCGGGTCGCAGCCGAAGCGTGTGCGCAGAAAGTACGGCGTGCCGAGGGAGATAAAGGATGGGATGGTTGCGTGGAGTGTAGCTGGGAGGATAAGGGACGGAGGGATGAAGTAGGAGGGGAGGAGACGCAGGCATGGCAAGATATTGCGGGGCTGCTCGGTGGAGGGCGTTATCACCAATCTATAATCCCATCCAACCCCATATTAGCACATTACATCTCACTAAATTACTCTGGAGCCATAAACCCACCTCGTCCTCACGATATCCAACGGCGCCAGCACCACCGCTGAAATTGCCGCCGCCGCAACGGCAACACCCAGACTAGCCAGAGGATACGCACTATCAGCGATCTCTGTCAGGCCTGGATCGGGCAGGCTCAATACGGCGCTCAAAAAGCTGCCGGCCCATGATTCGATCGTGCGCTCGAGAATCCCATACAGGAAAGAGCTGTTTTGCCCCTTCCATATACCCCATGCGCCCTCTTTAGCCCACAGCGCTTTGAGCATGTCGCTGATACTGCTGTCGGGGTGTGGGAGTTCAATCTGCCATGGGTGCGCTGTATCGGGGTCGGTTGTGGTCTCAACAACATATCCAGCGCGGTCGGTCATCTTACGGCCACGGGACGGGGAGCGGCGGAGCTTCTTGGGCGTCGGCGTAATATCATCGGACGCAAAGTAGTTAGGCTCGGAGTCTGTAGAATCTGCCTGTGCGCCGTTTCAATCAGCACTGCATATAGTGGTGTGCATCTAGACCGACTGCAGGTTGTAGATTAAAGCTGCAATTATAGATCGTAGAACATACATCGTCATCATCACTCCCATTGTCCTCATCCGCACTGTCATATGCCCGTCCCTTTCTCCATGTACTCTCCTTCTTCCTGCCCTTTCCCTTCGCACCCACCACCCCACCCTCACGCCTCGGCACAACCCTACATTGCAGCAGCATCTTGCTATTCTCGAAGGGCTGCGCAACAAGATTCAGACCATACTGGGCGGCCGCCTGCGTAAAGAAGTTCTTCAGGACCTCGTTAGGACTCGGACTATCAAGATAGTCTGTGTAGTCCTGCAGGTCTGTCAATAGGTTGAATGACGAGGAGGCATTGTGGACAGACGGTGGGAGCGACGGCGGGGGAAGCGGGCTGGTATCGAAGCCCACGGGTGGCGGGGGGATGTAGTAGGGGCGAAGAGGGTTTGGGCCGGACATTTGGACTGCTGTAGGAGTGCGTTTGTAGTTTTTGGGTGAGCGGGATGGTTGGTGTTGATGATGATGATATAAGGCCAAGTATGACTGACGCTCACTCGCTCACTTCACGCACTTTGAGAGATGGAGATAGAGGTATCCGGAGAGACAAGTGTTTATTTGTGTTATTATGCGTAGGTAGGGTATGATCTATGCGTTGTTATAAATATGCGTATGCGGCTTTTTATTTCCCCCGAGGGTGGGGTTTCTTTTTTTTTTTTTTTCCAATGAGGTGAGGTCAGTGCTGTACATGTGCATGCCCATCTCCCAAAACGGATCCCTGTCACGTGCGACTTCGCTGAGTTGCTTCACAGAATATCACGCACTCCAGGTTCACGCAAATATGCTTGCCAGTCTCCTTGCTTTAAATGGATAATAACTTTATCAATTAAATTAATAATATGCGTCCATCACTAAAAAAACACAAACGGTAGGTATCATGGCTCAACAATCAAAGAAACAATTAAATCATGAAATTGGGGGTAACCAATCCCTTCCCAAGCTCAGAGACTGCGTCGAAAAGAATGCGATCCTCCTCCGACATGGCCCTAATAGCCTTTTCACCGTCAAAGAAGGGCCTGACATCAGCCTCGCAGACCGTATCTTTTGGTGGAAGCTTTCCATCAACAAAGTAGTCACGGATATATTTCATACTACAGACGGAGGGCGTTGAAATTGAGCAATGCTGCACCACGGTTAGTAACTGGAAGTGAACAAAGATAGTAAGGAAAACGAACCCCTTCTGAGTTCTGCTCCAATACAACAGATCCTTCAAACCCCTTCGCCATTTTGTGTGCATTCCGCACTGGTGTCACCGGATCCGCAGAGTTGCCCAAAAATAGCAACGGCCAGCTAGTGTTTCCACTGATCGGGCCGTTGTAAACCAATCCCTGTGGCCTTATTTTCCACCCTGCACATCCCATCCTAACGACAGCCCAACTGCCACCTGATGTCGGACTCTGTTCCTGCAGCATGTGCAGGTACTCATACATCTCATCCAGCGAATCCTCAACTTGTTCGCCATCGCTGCACGCAATCGCCCAAATCGCATCGAAATCTGGCCCTGGTGGACGCTCAGGTCCACCACCGCCACAGTTGCATGAGAATTGCTTCTTTTGGTACTCGATGAAGCTCTTCCCATCACCTGCCTCGATATCGACTAGGATTTTGGCGATTTTTGGGAAGCTAGTGAGGGGCTTATAGAGAGCGGTGAAGAACATCGTTTTGACATCAGAGTATGTGACAACCTCGGCGCCTGTGGGAGCATCGGGGACTGGGAGAGGCTGACGCCGAAGTCGGGCCATGAGCGTGGAGAGACGGGTGGACACATCATCGGCAGTGGTGCCGGTGTGGAAGCTACAGCGAAGTGGGCCAGCAAGGGAGCAATAGTTGTAGAAGGATGAGACAACCTTTTCTGCGTCTTGCAAGTTGGTCATCCACCCGGATTTGTAGTAGTCTTCTACATCGCAGATACCTAATCCCGAGGATTTTCGTAAGCTGGGCATTTAAAAATGGCGGTTACTTAGGCAACCGGTGAAACCTTATGAAATCAGTGCAACAGGATGAACATAAAAACTCGAACTCCCATCCAAAACTTACAGACCACAGAGCAATCAGAGGCCCACAGGACTATGTGATTCTCGTATGTTTGGCTGTTTTCTAAGTAGTGATGGGGTCCATGTTACATCCAGCTTTTGTGTCCGACCTGTTACACTGGTTTATGAGGTTTTAATGTGTCCAAAATGAATGCGTGGATCCTACCATCAACAGCCAACCTCTCAATCCTGTCCGGAAACATACTAGCGAAAGTAGTCCCTAGAACACTTCCATAGCTGAAGCCCCAATACCTGAGTCCTTTCTTACTTCCATCTTTTCCAACTCTATCCCACTCCCCCTCAGTAATCTCCAACATGTCCCTTGCTACCACCGGCGTCCCCACATATTTCCCTACACCTGCAAGCCCCTCTCCCCCCATGGTAATGTTACACATGGCTCCAATTGTCATGCTTCGTGCGTATGCCTCACCGACCTCCTCACCCGAGTCGGTGGACCCAAGGATTCTTCCACCGGACTTGATCCCCCAGATTGACTGCTCCATATGGGTGTTGAAGCAGGACATAGACGGAGTAGTGTTGTTGATTCCGCGAGGGTCAAAGCCAACAATAGAAAATTGAGGACCAAGGATAGTCTGGAGCTCCTTTCCACGGCTAATTGCAAAGTTTGTGCCAGAGCCACCAGGACCGCCTAGATATTCATTGTTAGTTTTTTCCATATCTTGAATGCGCTCCACACCTAGCCTACACATCCCAGTACATTGTAACACAAGGCCATAATATCTCCGCCATTCATCTGATGCACATTACCAATCACATTTACTCACCAGGATTAATCAACACTGGACCTCCCCACTCCTCGCTTCTTTCATCCACCTTTGCAGGCACTTTTACGATCGCAACTGCTGCCTTCAACCCATTATCGGGGTTCTCCCAGTCGAGCGGAACTTCGAGTCTTGCGCACTCGAAACCGTCCCAACACGGGTGGTATTCTAGGTGTGAAGTTGGAGTAACCTATGCCGGCAGACATATTAGCAAGAAACAAACTAAAAAAAAGGAGAAGAAGCGACTAACATCTTCCCATTTGAAATCTTTGCCCTTTTCTGCCTCAAAGTGACAATTTCTGTGAGGAGCTGGTCCTGTCCAGCTTGTAGAATACCCTACAACAGCCCATGTACCGAACGCTGCTATTCCAGAAAATAGAACAAGGCGACGCGTTTTCTCGAGTAGTCTGAGTTTGCGACTAGATGGCTGTACTGGGATATCGCGGCTGGTAGAAGGCATTAGTGGTTTTTCGGACTCCATTTTTTGGTTCCAGTTCTCCATCTTGACAGTGAGGAAAGGAGAGCAGAGAGAGAGGGGGGTATGTAGATGAAGAGGTGAGGAGGGCTGCAAAAGAAAAAAGGACCAACAAGTCCTTCAGTAGGTACATGTAGCACTCCAGCTTACAGCAACAAGTGCGCTACTCTAGTATTGCCCTAGCACAGGGTCCGGCTCCTGAGAATAGTTAGAGCATGAACGATTCGCTATCTATCGCCTTGGCAAGTCCGGTTGTTACGGTAATGACCCAAATAGGGAACCAAATCTGCAGGATAGACTGTGGGGCACGGAGTTTTTCCGCTTCTTAGTAGAACAGCCATGCTTTGAGCTTCGGAAGATATCCGGCTGTAGACCTTGCGCAAGAATATTCTCCATCCAATATCTAGTCGCGTGAGAGCCTCAGGATATTCTGGGTGATTACCTACTTGGGCTTGCTGGATGCATGGGAATTAAGGCTTAACTACCGCCAAACTGGAAAATTGGCTAGCTAGCTAGACTACTACATGTACTTGAGGAAGCCTCTAAAGCTAATATGTAAGCGCCGCTCAGCTGACAGGTGAGCCGGAGATGGAGATTTTCAATAGGTCAACTAACATCGATTATCTTTTTATGAGGTGTGCTTGTTGCGAGGCGCCTTGCCTTCCGGTTTAAGCGTCGCTCTTACTCATACACCCGGTTGATCTTGGAATGATCGCACTTGAAGTCGAGGAAAGCTAAACTCTCTCGTGATTGTTTCTCCTGCCATTGCAGTGACTCTTCCAGAATCCAATGCCTCTACAATTGCAAAATACTCCATATATGTGTACAATATTCCAAAGAATATTTGCCAGCATAATTATATAATGAGGCATGGGTCGGTTAAAAAAATCGATCCCTCAAGTTGGATGTGATACTGATTAAGCTTAAGGACCAAAACCTGAATTGGTGCTCATAATCGCATGTACATACGTACTACATGTAGTAACGGACGATAATTATAAACAGATTTAATGATATTACATGTAGTATTTATAAGAAAGATCCTGGTCTATATATAACGAATCAATAATTTGGGCCCCCTAAGCGTCCAGGAAGACCCAGTTAAAGACCGCCCCTATCTTGTGCTCTTCATACCGGTACGTATATAAATATATCTATGGGGGTTGATGAATGAACATTATAATTCATCATCCTCAATCATTTTGACATACCGAGTGATTTATCATGATACAACTAAAGCAAATGGCAGGTCCAAGAAAAGGTGTCGCATGAATTTGAATTTGGATGGAGGCTTTGCTCTCCGGTACCTACCTTCTGCTGTCTGGCTTACCAGGACGAATAACCATCTCGGGATCACTAATTTGACATAATAGAAGTCAGCAGGTGGTGTCTAAGGGTTAAGTTTAAATTCTTAGATGAACGGAGGATAACTTGACTGAGGATGTACCACAGGTACCACAATCATGGCATTAAAGGGTCGCAAACAGCACCCCAGAAATCTATTCACTACAATACTAAGCGCAGTGAAATTGATTTGAGGCCAGCTGGCCCGGAAAAGAAAACTGTAACCTGGAAAGGAGGTGTATGAAAAGATATCTATTTACAAAAATAAGAGTAGAAGAGAAACGCGAGCTTCGGAAGGATATATCTAGATTATACTGCAGTAGGCTTTTCTCCATCCAGCACAACCTTTGCTACATCGTCCGCCAACACGCTAACTTTGTCACTCTCCAGCTCCTTCTTTGTAGCAATTCTCTTCTTTATCTCGTGCACTAAGTTGACTAACTCGACATCAACTCCGTTCTTGTCAGGGTGGCCTTCGGGGAGACCCATCTCCTTGATCTTGACCTTCCCTTCCTTCATTTCATCCTCACCCAGTACAATTGCGAATGGGACGCCGTTCTTATCTGCGGCAGCGAATTGTTGGGGAAGCTTTGGCTTGACTTTGTAAGAAAACTCGGCCTACTTAAGTTAGTGATATATCTTCTAAGAGGTCAATCTATAAAAAAATACCTTCACTCCTGCATCCCAAAGCATTCTGCAAACCTCCATTCTCTCCTTCACCAGTCCCGTAAAGCCCTTTCCTCCGAAAGCCATCACAAATACGTCCACCTCGTTTGCTCTCACTTCCGCCAACATCTTCGCCTTGGTAATTGAGAATATTCTGTCTACACCAAACGAGATACCAACGCATGGCACCCGTCCCTTAGCAGAGTTGGCGAACATGCCAACCAACTCATCGTATCTCCCACCTGCAGCAATCGATCCGACACCGATCGAATCATCGTTAGAACGGTCGGCATCTGGGTCGTTAGGATCAACGGCCTTAACAGGCTTCTTGGATTTGTGGCCCTTGGCGGGGGGTGCAGAGGCCTCGGTGACAACTTCATAGATGATACCGGTGTAGTAGTCAAGACCACGGGCAAGAGAGAGGTCAAAGGAGAGCTTAGGCATGACGTTGAAGATCTCAAGGTAGTCGAAAAGCAGGCCCATATCCTTCAGACCAGCAGCAAATGACTCATTTGAAGTGAGAGTTTCGTCCTTGAGGAGCTCAACGAGGAGGTTGCGCCCACCCTTCTTAAGAACGTATTCTCCAATCTTGTCGGCGACAGCGGGGTCAAGACCCTTCTCATCGACCATCTCTTTTCGTACCTCTTCCCATGGAGACTATTAAAATCTTGTCAGCTAGATGCCATCCCGAGACATGAGTCATCACTCATGATAACATACCTTATCGAGCTTATCGACGGCACTCGAGATTGTCCTGATCTTATCTGTAGGTACACCACAGATTTGGAACAGCCCGTCAAGGATCTGTCTATGGTTTATTTTGATAGTATACGTTCCCAAGTTGAGCCCATCCAAAATCTCGGTAGTGATTCTTAAGATCTCCGCGTCGGGAAGCATAGGGTCGTATACACCAGCAATGTCAAAATCGCACTGGTAGAACTCTCTCATACGGCCCTTTGTCATCGCAGGCTGGTCACGGCGGTAAACCTTTGCGATGTGGTATCTCTTAATTGACTGGATTGACGGGTTCATAGCAAGCCATCTCGCGAATGGAACTGTAAGATCGTAGCGGAGAGAGCAAATTTCACCACCTTGGTCGGCAAGGTCATATATGAGCTTTGAATCTTCACCGTATTTTCCTGTGAGGACTTCACGGAGCTCAAAGACACTGCGTTGTCGGTCATGTCAGCTTTTACCGCTTGTTATTCCCCACATGGAACGGTTCGGAAGGAGGAACGAAGCCTACGGGGTATCTATAGTGACCGCTCCATGGCGTTTGAACACATCCGTGATAGTTCCAAAGATCTTATCACGAATAATCATATCCTTGCCCTCCCAATCCTTGGTACCCTTCGGGACCTTCAGATTCAGCATTCCCTTGCCTTTCTCCTTCACGGCTTTTTCCTTCGGCGCCATATTTAAATCCTGATTCCGCGAAAGAAATTGGGATGTGGAAAATGCTCTAATTGGTGTTATTGTAGATCTCGAGTAGAATCTCGATGCAATTTTTGTTGCCGTCGTACGGTAGAGAAGTTTGTGGAGCTGTGAGGGGTAATGGAGGGGCAACTTCATTGCGGACGTCACAAACAAGGTGAAACAAAAATCATAGAGCCCTAGTGACTCAACCAGCCAACCCCGCGTTCTTTGCATCCCTGAAGATCTGTTTGTAAGAGCCGCAGGGTTAGGGTTATTGCAATGGTACATAATAATTTGTTTCTGTCACGGTGTTATATGTAATTGTTACTATCCTGAGAATGGTTAAAGAGTGCCGAGTGCCGATGTCACACTTAAGAAGCTATAATATATCTTGCAGCTAAGATGGGGAGCGAAATACTGTTCGCGATGATACGATACGGATATAACAGGGCTAGTAAAATGAATTTTCTAAGGAAATTAATCATTCTTGCGCATTTGATTAATCCACTCCTCCCATCAAATATATATTTTTATAATTTCAACTCAGATTTAACAGAATAATTAATGTATTTAGAAAGCAAATTCAACACCGGGTCTGCCGCAGGCTCTCATCGATCGAAATACTTCCCTCTTAGACATCTTCCCGGAAGTGCAAATACCTACATAAAAATCAATCGATCTCTAATAATCGGTAGTTCCAACTAGATTGGCCACATTGCGTTGCCGACCGCGGTGGCTGCAACTACATGCCAAAACAACATCATGATTTATCACTCACAGTCCTAATTAGACATCGTGCTCATCTCAACAAATTCTTCTCAAAATTTGCCACAAGTCTAGTACTACAACGTGCACCTATCCCCTGTCAATCGTTTGTTTCTTCTGTTAGTATGGTCTACTTCTAAATATCATGGGAATTTGGCGTTGAGGCTGTACTGTACAGCCGCCCCTGAGGTTGATTGGTTGAACACGTGGGGCTGAACTAACTCGTCACCCTGCAGGAATTTGTATCCAAGTAACGCAGTAGCGCCATCCCAAGATCTTGATATGCTGCAGGGTTAGGTTTATAAACCCACGAAAGCGTGATGCAATCTTACAAGGAATGCATGATCTGGGGCTAGACTTGCTGGGTATGTCTGTCAAGTTCTAAATAGTAGCTTCCTTATTGGATATTTGTCACGGTGCATCCTACAAGTCCTTCAATTGAAACAAGTTGCCACCCACTGTGATGGGCACGATACGCGGATGTGGTTAATCGGGAGTTGTTTGTGGATGCACACGGCACAGCTTCCAAGCCTACATCCATCATCCGGTGTGTTTATAAATGCATGTGTTTTCCCGACTTCCCCTCATCATCTTCCCCGCATCTATCAATCTAAAGCTCCAGACCCTTATATCCACCCTACTTTATCAACACATCCTACTTTTAATAGCCCCAAAGCTCTCTCAGAGAAATGGATCTCCTTAAGAATCTCGCTGGTGGTGCCGACAACAATGATCAACGCGGCCAGCAACCATATGGCCAGCAGTCACATGGCCAGCAACAGCAATATGGCCAGCAGCAGCAATATGGCCAGCAACAACAGCCATACGGTCAGCAGCAGCAGGGCCACTCTTCATCTGGCTCAGGCTCCGGCTCCGGTCTCGGTGGTATGATCGGCGGATTGATGGGTGGTGGCAGCCCAAAGCAGTCGCAGCAGCATCAACCTCCGTCGTACGGCCACCAAGATCAGTCGTACGGCCAACAGGGGGGATCATACGGCCAACAAGGCGGATCATACGGCCAGCAAGGCGGGTCATACGGCCAACAGGGCCAGCAGTCATACGGCCAGCAGCAAGGTCATTCCTCCTCGGGTTCTGGCTCTGGTTCAGGCCTCGGCGGCATGATCGGAGGACTGATGGGCGGTAGCGCCAAGCCCCAGCAGCAGCAGCAATCGTCTTACGGCCAGCAGCAAGGACACTCTTCGTCCGGCTCTGGATCTGGCTCTGGTTTGGGTGGCATGATTGGTGGATTGATGGGTGGTAGCAAGCCTCAGCAGCAGCAGCAGCAACAAAGCTCTGGCGGTTGGGGCGACAAGCTCCACGGCATGATTGGTGGTGGCCCAGAGTCAGAAAAGAAGGAAGACACCGTTGATAAGGGTATGCGCTTTATTCCAATATCTCGAGAAAGTAGTTACTAACAAACTCATCGCTTTAGCTGTCGATCTTTTCCAGGAGCATATCCTCAAGCAGGGCCCTCAAAACAATGAGAGCGCTTTCGAACAAGCTAAGGATGAGCAGATTGGCAACTGTGAGAATACCCGTACATGAGCTTTCCCAGTTTCAGCCCTTTCTAATAACTCTCTCAAATTATAGTCATCCGATCCCAGTACAAAAACTACACCGGCAAGGATATCTCTAAGAAATAAATTGGTTACATGTAAATACGCTATTTTCATTTTGTTTCAGGATTGGGTTTTTTCTTTTTTCTACTTTAAATTACGAAATCATGTCTGGTTACGTCATATGTAAAGCATTTGAAACATTCGGCTATGCCCGTTTTGGAACCAAGCTTACAACAAATTCTAACAATTCAAACTAAGTATTGGAAATGTAGACACGAATTCTTTGCCACAGGTCTTTGGAACAAAATTATAGAGATATTGATCAAATAATGATACACAGATTTCTCTTGTACTACAAAGATCGTATTAAACCAATCGAAATCATGTTGAGATCGAGCCTTAATACTGACAAATGAGCAGCTAGTACGACAGAGTTATACCAATCAACTACTAAGACAGGGTTCAACTAGGTACCTAATTCGACTCTCTTCGTGCCACCACTGCCATCCCAACCACAATTCAGTGAAACACCGTCCATTCATCTTGTAGGTCTATAGAATCCCATGACTTGAGGGATAGTCCAGTGGCTTTTAGGTCACAATATAAACTCCGGAAATGAGAATACTTGACAGCCTATCCCTGAACTCATGAGATCCAACAGGCCTACAAGATGAATGGAACAGCGTTATATTGATTTGTGCCAAAGGTGGAAGTGCCAGTGAGAAAGAGATCGTATCAGAATACAAGGCCAAAACCTACCTTGTCCGTTCAGATTGATAATACAAACTCCAACGCCGCACTAACTACTCAAATGTCAGTGTATCGGACCCAACCTCAAAGTGATCGCAATCGTAATTGATTGTCCTTTGGAAGCTCGGGGGATAATGCCCTCTATTTAAACTTTTCGATATCGGCTCATACTGACAAATACTGGCTCATACTGACAAATACTGGCTCGTATACGATTAATAACAGCCTGTCTGGATAAATTAAACAAGCTGCAAATTGCGATGAGTCAACATTGCCCATATCAATATTTTGGCTGTGGTTACAAAAAGAAAATCGCCATAAACACCCTGAGGCCCAATCTGCAATATTCCCCCCTCCACCTCAAGTGAAACAGTTGGTCCAGACTTCCCCTCACATCATGCAGTGGGCCGAGGGAGAAACGTGGGTGTGAAATCCCCTCCCCTCCACATGTGTGCGCGCCGTTTTGTGCATTGTGGGCTATGGCACGTTAGATCATCACGGCTGAAGGTCGTACCCCATGTGAGCTTGCCGCATGAGCATATTGGGACCTGATTCCGATTTGTGTGGCCGGGGTTCGGCTAGATGAAACGGAACCGAAGCTGCATGATTCCTTTTTGGTAGCTATGCTGGTACCGCGAACTCACATGCATAATGCGTACCATAATTGGTGCACTTGATTTAACTAAACTCTTGTTTTTGAAGGCGATTTTGGAGATAATGGAACCTACTAGTTGGAAAAACTACACATCTCCAGTAAGAGCGCTGCGTTACGGTGACATTGGTGGGTTTTCTTTTTTGCTCATAGAGGGTCACTCGTTGCAAAAATGTCGTGATACTAGTGATTGGTATAGCGGGAATCGCGCAAATTTCGGTTTCTAATGCGGAGTAATCATACTTAGGCTTACCTTGACCCTTTTATTTTCTTTTTTAGTTGCACTTTCAGCTCCAATATTGATTTTTGCCTCGATCTTTTGCTTCTGACGGTCAAGTGATCCTGAGGCATTCTGTCGAAGTTAGGACTATCATACTGTACTGGCTACTGAAAAAGTCGAGTCTGTCCACATCATGAATTTTGACGTGTGTATACAACTAGTGTGGTCCACTCGAGGCGAGCAGAGGCAAATTCCTCTCTGCCTTGATAGCTATGTATGCCTCGAGGTGTTCGAAGCATTCGAGCCAGATACGAAACATTACAGGACAAGATTGCAATGATATCTTTCCCTAGAAACTGCTAGTAATATAAACTAACTTTATGTAATCATAAATATCTCATATGGATATTCTTATAGGTCATCAGCTGCGTGTATTTTAACAGTAACAGACAGTACCTAGATGAGAACTACATGTGCCAAGTATAAGTTTGCTAAATATAGTATGGCACAATGACTTTCGTGCAGCTAGAGGCGAGAGGAAGGCTTACCTTGAGCATTCTCGTGACTCTTGTAGAATCTACCCCGTGTCTTGAGCTGCCTCGAGGCGAGGTTTCGAGCATTAATGCCCTGTGGACCACGCACTTATGGCAATTCACCCTTTTGTCATCGTTTACCATGTTAAACAAAACAGGTTTTGCTCTTGTGTTCGCCGGTCCCCGGGCGAAGCTTCTGTCCTTGGTTGTTGGCGCGTTGGTCACGATACATTGATAATAATGATCGACGTATACTTTTCCTTCTTCTAGTTAGTTATTCTTTATCTACATACATGTATTAAGCTGGGCTTTCAGTTGTTTGCCTTATGTAACTTTCTTGGCCGTGACAAGTGTCCTCTGCTACACCGTATCGCACTCGAGCGTTTCTAAATACATAGTTTTACTTATTCATTCTCTAAGACACTATGGCGATATATCACTTATTCATTTTTCCCCGATGTTCTAAGTTCATCTATAGGATAGCGAGCACAATTTCTCAATGAGACGAGATAATGGAATGAAATCAGATAATTGGCAGCGCTAGACTTGCTCCAACCCCATATGGTCAACTTAGACTTGGGAATTTCGTCCCGCCTATCTACATGATGGTTTACTCGATCTCTCCCCACACCGGCTTCTACTACGAGCCGAGGTTATCTGTTCTCTGGTACTGCTATCGTGCCGTACATCGACTGCATTATATATATTACCAATTGCCGTTCGTTGCCCGTCCTTAGCTCACTCAGTCCCTCATCACGAACTGATCTGTAATTTATGAGGGACTCTTAATGGCGTGCTTGGCGGTCCAATGGTAGACACTACTAAGCCAAAGACTGTATCCGAATAGGTTGACGTGTTTAGACATCTCTCTTTGGTTGGTTTTCCACGTGGCCAAGACCCCCTTACCCCTCATAATATTTTCCACAGGCGTCGCAAGTTGAATCACGATGCTCATTTCGAAAGATGGGATGCCATCGTATGGAGTCCACTCTTGCCCTAACCCAGGCAATCACATTCTGTCCAATAATTCGACTCTCAGGTATGCGTCTGCCCATTCAGTTTTGAATTAGACTTGCAGGGAATGTAATTCCGTTGGTTGATACGGATATTCGAGTGATCGTATATGATGGTGGTTGTGCTAGCGCTAGCTTAATTGCCCCACCACGTGCACTCGATTGGGGAAGAAATATCAAGAAACTGAATATAGAGTAGTGGCATAACGCACAATTGTGATATTTGACTTTTCGGATTGCATAACTCTATGCCCGCCAGGTCCCTTCTTTTTTTTTTTTTTTACCCTTTCTCTACCTGAGGACTTCAAGAAAGAAAAAATGCCGCGCTAAATAAAATGGAAACCACAGCTTCATATTCGCTCACTGAGTGAAGTTTGAAATCCTACTTGGCTAGCCTTGAGGTCTCTGGCGTATGGTAGCTTTACACATACTGATAGATACTTTAGAATTGCGTAATCAGCATGGGAATGTCATGAATATGATGCGCATATATGCCATGTTTGAAATAGCCTATGTAGACGCGCTTGCGCAAATTTTCACTAAGTAAACGACAAACCTAGGCTGGATTTCAGATAACTGAGGATGCGCGTCTAGCTATTATAAGAGCATACCACGGGACGATTTCCCGCGAAGCAATTGGCAATCATTCACCTGAGTCCAGTTCTATCACTAATTACACTGAAAAGTGGCATTCTATTTAGGTAATGATAGTGTTTTGGTCGTTCGAATTCCTAATCCGCCATACAAAACTCTCAGTTTTCAGTGCATATATGACAGAAAATGAAAATCGGCACCGGCCAGAATACTAAAGACACAGGATAGTGAATCGCAGGCTTTAGTGGCCCCGTCTACACGATATCATAATTATACACATTGCATAAAACAAAAACAAAGCCTCCAAGTCCTCGAATGTTCATGATTATCAGCAGAAACGCACGTATGTAGCCACTGCAGTAATGATTCACTTGGGTTAGAAATCAGCGATATCCAAATGACTAATAAAAGGCCACAGGTCTGTCGTCGGGGCTATATACGAATGCAAGGAATGAAGATCTATTGCGAAGCTGATAATGACGCGACCCTCTTGGGTGATCATGATGCAACTACGTGGAGCCTATCCATTCCCCATGTCGGATCTTCTGTCCTATTGTAACTGGGATAGATATAGAATCAAGAGCTCCTTTCTTCTTTCTCCCTTTCTTTCTTTCTTCCTCCCTCACGTTTCCATCAGACCATGTTTCGTCCCTCTACTTTTCAATCGGTCTTTCCCTAGTTTTATTTGTCAGTCACGAAATTTCACTCGCCCTCCCCCACCCCTCCTCGATCTGACCAGTACTTTCAGACCGGCACTCTACGAAAAGCGGGAATCGATCAGTTACAAAACCATGTCAAAGATAAGCTCATGTAGGGAATGCCCCACCTCCTCTAAGAGGCTTGTTTAGACGTCTCACGCTAAATCCCGCGGTACTGTTGTATAGAACCCGGTACCCACCCGTATTACCTCCTCCTCGGAACGTAGTTAATGGATCAAGACCCCCCATTCCTGTCTGCTTTGAGATTTGGCCGGTGCCTTTATACTGATATTCTCAGACATTAGTGTAGCTTCGTTATTTACATACACAGCAGCCAGAGCCCGATCCTTTACACTTTGATCATGAATCATTCCAACTTATCCACATGAACCTCCCTCCCCTTCCCCCTCATCCTAAACCACACCCTGAATACCTCTATGCCATCATCATCACAACAAGAACTTATTCGAAAGCACATTTATTCTTTACCATACTACTTCCCTATAACCCATTCCACAGCCGATCAACTGAAACTGCAAAAACAAAAGAAAGAGTTGACAATTTTAGAGAAAAAAAGATAACTCCCTACCGGTCGACCCTGGCTTTGTCTTCCCAGCCCCAGCC